CTCTTGAGAATATTCTAATATGATATATTTGTATTTATCTGAGTCTGAAGGGAGCAGCCTAAAACTACATGCTATTAAAATGCAAATGTAACATCATTTTACCAGGAACAAGCTCTCTCCAGCAGGAGAGGAGCACAATAATTTAATTCACACTGAAGAATGATGCCTTCCATTAGCACAGACTTTCAAAAGGGGAAGAAAGTATTGACTTAGAAGTTACTTCAGTCCTCATCTTTTGAGAGATTCAGTTTTTTTTAAGGGTACAAGTGCTTCTAAAAATTATATAAGTCAGAGCTGTATTTCATCGGGTTCAGCCAACCCAGTAGGGTGTGAGTTAGCTTGGAGGAGTGGTAACGGAGGCATGGACTGCAGACAGCCAGACATGAGATCTAAAGGTGTTTCTGAGAACCAGTGACTCCGAGGAAGCAGGTGTAACTTCATGCATCTTGGAACTTGGTGTTATTTGATGTCCTTGGAAAAAAAAGTGATGCATTTCTGGAGATTCAAATAACCTGTAATAAAAAGGCTGTTTCTCCACTGTATAATTTCTTCTGAAAAAAATTCGATTTGAAAGAATTCCTCCAAACCCTACCATGCCTGCTTCCCATGCCTGCTTCCCATGCCTGCTTACTGCCTTGTGCACGGACTCTAACAGGATAGCTCTCGGTGCTCCCACCTGCCCGTCATCTTTGACATCTGGTTGCCTTGTCTTCTGGCCTGAGCTTCTTTGTTTCCCAAGTGGTGTGATGGGCTGTACAGAGACAGACCGCAAAGGAGAGATCTTCATGTGCTGGTTTACTCCACAAATGTCTGCGATGGCCAGAGCTGGGCCAGACTTTTGGCCAGAAGCGTGAAAATACATGCAAGTCTCTCAGGGCGGGTCGCAGGCGCAAGTATTTGACCCAGGTTACGTTGCTTTCTTAGACATATCGTCAGACAGCTAGACAGGAAGTGAACTGGGGGTATTCCACCTGGCACTCATGGGGAGGCTGGTCCCAACAGCTGAACCCACTCTGCCACAATGCTGGTCTCAAAAGAAAATGTTTAAAACATTTTTACATAGTCATATGTTTTATGGCAACAGCAAAAGTATCCCAATAGTAATTGTAGTCAATCCAATTTGCACTAAGATCTCTTATTAACAAAATGCTACATTTTACAAAAAGGACTTTGAGGTGTTCTAGGGACGTTTATTCTATGAAAACTGCACAGAATTCAACACTGTCCAAATTATTCTTACCTTTAATTTTCCATAAATTTTTGGAAGGAATTGCATGTCTTGTCTTTGAAAATCTCGCATGTGAAATCATTGACATAGTGTGCGACTGCAGTACAGAAAAGGAGAAACAGCCACCGTGTCCTCGGGGGACGAGCGTCACAGGAACTCCGGGACGTCGCGGACTGCTCGTGTGCCGCCGGCATTCACAGGTGCAGGAGGGGAGAGCAGCTCTCTGGCCGGTGCCCTGGCTGCTCCTGTGTGCACGCATGCTTGGCCTCGGTCCATCGAGCTCCCGAAGCAGAGCCTGACTTACACTGTCTAAACAGGGTAATAAGCTCTGAGTTTAAAAGTGTTATAAACAAAGCTAAAATTTATTCTTCCAAACAGATTAAGTCAATTTGTATTGTTCTATGCTCCTAGCATGGAATTTCTTAATCAGTCCTTTACCAATCAAACATATTTTTAAATCTTTGATGTGGCATCCCTGGGTTCTAATTCATTCTCCAATCTTAATAAGACAGGGTATATTTTTCCTGAAATGTCATGTCAAGGGTGAGTATGATCAACAAGTATTCATCAGATTTTCCACTAGGATCTGGTAAGCACAAGGCTTACTATTCAAGTGTTACTAAGCCAGTTTGTCCAGATGGAATCAGCTACAGCTCCTGAGCCAATAATCTCGCAGAGTTGGGCCATGGGCTAGCAGCGTTCCTAGTTCCCTAGGATCCAGATTATTCCCAGCCCCCTCAGTAGTGCCCAGTGGCTCTCTCACTTTTCTCGTTACAAAGCATGGGCAAGATTGCATCCCACAGTCCTTGTTTTGTCCACCCAGGTTACACTTCCTTCATTAGTACTGAGCACTGCTGTTTGTCTGACTCTGTAAGGCATCGGGCACTTCAGCTGCCAGCAGAGTTGACCTGTAAGTACTGTCTCACGGATCATTATAGCGACATGTAAATGCACTGGTTTAGGTAGCTGTGCAGGACCACCGACGTAAAACAAGCGCTTGTCCACACCTGTGGACGGACAGCAGCGACTCGGTGCAGTATAGACCGCATCTGGGTTCTCTGCTCAGAACTCAGACTGCAGATACTGTCCGTTTCAGGGCTGGACACTTCCTGTGGAGAAAAGGAGCCAAGTCTGCAGGCATGTCCAATATTCTGACCTAAATGTGATACACAGTTGACTCCCAATGTTTGTGACAGTAATATTCTATACATAGAGTTTATATTAACTTATGTTAACGACTACCTCTTAGAATGTCTGTACAAATATGGGACATACACATATCAGAGACCTTCACCCGAGGATAGTGAAAGGTAAGGTCAGGGGTTAGAGTTAGGAACTAGAGCCTGTAATGTATGAACAACCAAGTTGCAATAGCTAATATGCTACGATGGAAATGCTTTGTGCCTGGGTCAGTGGCAATGACTGCAGGGACAAAGCACACAAGTCATTGACCCAAACCCACTAACAATAACTGAACACTTCACATCAAAGAAAGCGTAGTGTTCTCAGTTAAGTTATATTTTATATACAATTCAGAAATAAAAAATTCCTGAATAGGTAAATGGAATCAAAATATTTGTGATCGACCATCTAACATTTTGAAGAACCTGACTTGACTAATTTACTTAGACTTAGTTGAGGAGGACACAAATGCTAGCTAGGGAACTTACACTTGATCAAATCTGGATCAGTGCGTACTTAAAATTGTGCTTAAATTATATCTCAATAAAATTAATTTTCAAAGGAACAACTTGTATCTGAATGGGTATTTCAGTTTACAGCATCTAACAGAAATGTTGTGCAATTGTTTTTGGTAACCAGAATTTGGTTACTTAGCTGACTGTGGTGTAAGCTAAGTGCGAAATCCTAAAATAAGAACAGGGGCGGAGGAGGTCTGGAAGTATTGATTCTGCTTCTCTCCACTTCAAAAAATAAATACAAATTTCAAGGCAAAAATATTGGTACTGAATGGTCAGTATTGCAGATAACGACCAGGAAAAACTGACTCGGCGCCGGCCCGGGGCAGACCCGTTGGCCCCATTGTGCACTGCTAATCCGGAGCGCGGTTCTGGGGTCGGGTCGGGTCCTGGTTCTGCGGGGGTTGCTCGCGCCCTCTAGTGGAAGTAAGTTTAAGGGAAAGGCAGCGCTAGTCTCAGACCTCTATGTATGCATGGTTGTATTATCAACTATTGATACTTGATATTTCGAGACAGCGATAAATGTTGTCATACAATACTACATTAAATAAATGTGAACCCTCTTGTGTCCTTCAGAAAAGCAACCAAGAAAAGAAAACCTCATCAGAAAACTGTGGGTCCACAGTTGTGGAAACTGCGTGGGGTTGAGGACACCCGCATGCAGTGTCTGTGTTAGGTCTTCTAACCGGAGGTGCAGCTCGTCTCTGCGTCGCCTGAATTAGCATTTCGCAGCTATTTTAAAGAATAGTTTGAATCTGCACCAAACGTCTTTAGCCTTATCCGCCCAAGGTTGAAACCCTGTTCCACATTTCACATTAACTTGGGTCTGGTTTCCTTTTCATTGACAACAGTGGTATCATAAATCTCAATGCAAAATAAGCACCCATGGAATATAGGATGGGAATGCTGCAAGGCGAGTTTGAGCTGAATGTTAATGATCTGGTTCTTAAAGATAAGGTTAATAGCACGTAGCTTCATTAAATCCCTAGAAGTGTTTCTTTTCATAGGAAGTCATTAACTCAACAGGGTGACTGAAGTGCGTCCAGGGCCCAGATGTTGTCTTGGTGGCAGTTGTTACGGAGAGATATATATGTAGGACATACATGAGTGGCCCTTCAAAATGCCCGCTGTTTCAGGAAGGGTGAGCGGGCAGCTTGTGTAGCTGGCCAGATGGACACCTTGGTAATAAAAGGGGAGATGCCCCGGTTCAGGGCGATTCGGGTCACAGGAGACTGGAAACGCAGGGCAAGCCCGCCACCTCCTGGTGAGCGAGGAGGCCGCGCCGACCCCGCCGGGGTCTAAGTTCTCATTTACCTCCCGGTCGTTTTGTTGGGGGAGCGACAGGGAACGAATGGGGAAGGGATCAGTTTGAGAAAATTGAGAGGGGCTGCGTTGGCCTCGTCGGAGAGGACGAACGCAGCTGAGATTCCGGGGGTCCACACCCGACAGAGCATCTCCCCCAAACGCCGGCCGGCTGCGAGGCACTGCGAGGCCCGGCTCCTCTTCAGCGGACGTCCCGCAGCCTGAGAAGCCCGCGCCTGCAGCTGTCGGCCGCGGGAAAGCTTTTGGGGGTGCCCCAAACGCGGGGCGCGCGCCGCCCACTACGGCTGCTCTGCGTTTACTTCAGTAGAAGCCGACAGCAACCCGTCTCGCCCATGGAGCGACAGCTCCCACGGGGGACATCCGTACAGCACCCCCAATCCCAGCGTGATGCTAGAGAGGGCCGGCCGCCCGAGCGCGCAGGCGGACCCGCGGCCATCGCTCCGGGGGAGAGGACCAGCTGACTTAGAGACTTAAGTCATCCGGGTCCCCGGAGACCGGAACCGGACCACACACAGGGCAAGGCCGCCCCCTTGCGGGGAGCGGCCGGAATGAGCCGGAAACAGCTTCCAGAAGCCGCCCAGTCCCGCCCCCAAGACCCGCCCCTCTCGGGGACTCCAGCCACTCCGGGCCCTCGGGCAGTGTGATTGACAGAGCGACGGTCCCTGTCTGACAGTCTTCCCTCCGGAAGCCGTCGCTTGGCCCTTCCAAGTCTGCGCGCTCCCAGCAGCCTCTTCCTTCCGGCCGTGCTCAACCCGGCAAGGCCAGTCCCGCCTTGCGCGCCCATTTCGAGCCGTGGTTGTCGGCTCAGCGTTGCAGGCTGAGGTTTCTTTTCTTTTGTTAATTATTATTTTTCCTTCCGCCCGGGCAGGGGCAGTGGGGCGGGAATGGCGCAGCTGGAGGGGTACTACTTCTCGGCCGCCTTGAGCTGCACCTTCCTGGTGTCCTGTCTGCTCTTCTCCGCCTTCAGCCGCGCGCTGCGGGAGCCCTACATGGACGAGATCTTCCACCTGCCGCAGGCGCAGCGCTACTGCGAGGGCCACTTCTCCCTCTCGCAGGTGGGGTCCCGGCCCCTGGCCGCGGGGGTGCCTGTCGCCCCAGCCTCGGGTCGGAGCGCAGTGACAGCTGACAGCGACTCCCTGCCGGGGCGCTGGGGCAGGCTTTGGTCTCACACACGTAGATACAGAAATACACATGTCGTCCTCCCTCTCTGTCACCCAGAGCAGGGTGAGTGCTTAGGCGCATGAATGAAGTCTGTTGGAGAACCACCCGAGGCTCTGTCTCAGCTTGGCGTGGCCTTGTCCCTGCCCTGGGTTTCGGTGACTCACCTGCGAGGTGACAGACCTGTGATAACGGTCACCAGGGCACGTCTTGAGCACGCCGCATGCGTGTGGGCTTGTGGAACCTTCTCCCTAAACCCCTCAGGATGCCAGACCACGTTTCTCGTTTAGAACATTTGCAGTGCAGCCTGGGTAACAAGTGGTGAAAAGTAGAAACAGGTTTTAAAGGTGTTACCCGGAGGGATGGGGCAACATTGCGAAAAGAAATTGAAAAGCTGTGACCTGCTGAGTACTCCATAACCGCGACACGACACACAGTAACTCCCGATTCCTCGGGCACGTGTGGATGTGTTGGAGTCTGTCTGACAGTCCCTCTTCCCACTTTGCTCTCTGCCTTTCCGTTGTCCAGTGGGACCCCATGATCACTACGCTACCCGGCTTGTACCTGGTGTCCGTCGGGGTGGTCAAGCCCGCCACGTGGATCTTTGGGTGGTCGGAACACATCGTCTGCTCCATTGGGATGCTCCGCTTTGTCAATCTGCTCTTCAGCGTCGGCAACTTCTACTTACTGTACCTGCTTTTCCGCAAGGTGCAACCCAGACACAAGGTATGTTGGAAAATAAGATACGAGAGTTTATGTTCTGGGGCTAACACGTGGCGGACAGGCCAAAACCCCAGCCTGCAGTGCCTGCACGAGGCCGGTTTGAGTCCTGGCTGCACCAGTTCTAATCCAGCTCCGTGCTGATGTGCCGGGAGAGCAGCGGAGGATGGCCCAAGGGCTGAGCACCAGCCCGCACACGGGAGACCCAGCACAGGCCAGGCGGGCCGGGGGGGGGGCTGTTTAGTGAGAAAACCAGCAGGTGAAAGATCTCTCTCTTTTCCTCTCCTTGTGTGCCTCTCTCTCTGTAACTCTGCCTTTCAAATAAATAAATGAATGTTTTGCCTTTGTAAGTGCTGGCCTGGGCGTTGAGTTCTGCCCCGGCTGTTTGTGTTTCGGTTACTGTGGGGCGGCTTACAGATAGATCTTAGTGACTTACTCTGTTGACTGGGAAGGGTGTTGGACTCGTGGAGAGTATCGGCCGTGATGGAAGGAGTGGAGAGCAGCTCCTGATGTGTTATTATAGATGATCATCTTTGACCAAACTGGCTTCAGCGGTGTCGCCTGTGAGAGCGAGGTTAGCCCTGAGCGCTGAGAAGGCTGCTGAGCGTGAGCCGCAGCGGGCAGGCCCTGGCTCAGAGAGCGCCCAGGGCTGCAGGCCAGACAGCGTGGGCAGAAGCAGGAAGGCCCCGAGCAGCAGGGCTTCGGGAGGCGCGATCTGGAATTGCAGGATTTAGTGTACAGGTTTGTAAGGCTTGATGGGGACAGGGGTGGGAGGCCTGGATGTCCTTCCGGGTCATGGAGAGGGCTTGAGAGACTGACTTTCTCCTGGGAATGACGTCAGATTTGTTGATTTGGACGAAGTAGGGGATACAATTTAAGGCTCTAAGAGCACTTTCAGACCTAACATAGACTGTGTAAGGAAGCCAGCGTCAGCCAGGGCCCGGTGCTGGCGGGAGATTCCTGGAATCTCGTGCCCGTGGCCCTGGAGTGTGGGACTAAGCCCACGCCACAGGTGCCGAGAGCGGCACGGCCCAGCGCCTGCGTGCCCGTCCTGCCCGACCCAGCCAGCTCCGCCCGTCCTGAGCTCGTGCCCCAGGTGTTCACCGGTGGCCCCACTGCTCTAGGCCTCAGGGTTCTGGCGCGTAGGACGCTGTCTTAGGGGTTGCTAAAAGATGCCGGGAGGTGTTGTTCCTCACACTATGTTTTGGCAAAGCCAGAAATAAAATGAGTTGTCCAGTTTTTATCTCGATGCAGTGGGAGTCACTTCTCTGTTTTTGGTGGTGAATGAATCTGTAGCCGCGTTGTCTCATGAAGGTAACTCCACCCGTGTTCTTTCCTCCCTCCAAGGCCGCCTCGAGTGTCCAGAGAATCTTGTCCACCCTGACCTTGGCGGTGTTCCCCACACTCTACTTCTTTAACTTCCTTTATTACACAGAAGCGGGGTCGCTGTTTTTCACGCTCTTCGCCTACCTGATGTGCCTGTACGGCAACCACAAGACTGCGGCCGTGCTGGGCTTCTGCGGCTTCATGTTCCGCCAGACCAACATCGTGTGGGCCGCCTTCTGCGCCGGCACCGTGCTCGCCCAGAAGCTCTCCGAGGCCTGGAAGGCGGAGCTGCAGAAGAAGGAGGAGAGGCCCTCTGCGGGCAGGGCGCCCCTCGCGGACCTCCGCAGGGTCCTCCGGTTTCTGTGGGCGCACGCGCTGACCCCCAAGAACCTCAGCGCGCTCCTGCTGGCCACGTGGCCCTACGCCGTCTTGGGCTGTGCCTTCTGCGCCTTCGTGGCCGTCAACGGCGGCATCGTGGTGGGCGACCGCAGCAGCCACGAGGCCGTCCTGCACCTGCCGCAGCTCTTCTACTTCTCCGCCTTCACGCTCTTCTTCTCCGCGCCGCACCTGCTGTCGCCTGGCAAGGTGAAGGCTTTCCTCGGGCTCGCGTGGAAACGCAGGATCCAGTTCTCGGCGCTCACCCTCCTCTGCATGCTTGTGGTTTGGAAGTTCACCTACGCCCACAAGTACTTGCTGGCGGACAACAGGCACTATACGTTCTACGTGTGGAAGAGAGTCTTTGAGAGGCACGAACTTGTCAAGTTCCTGCTGGTTCCTGGCTATGTGTTTGCTGGTTGGAGTATCGCCGACTCCCTGAAATCAAAATCCATTTTCTGGAATTTAATGTTTTTCGTGTGCGTGTTCGCGGTTACAGTTCCTCAGAAGCTGCTAGAATTCCGATACTTCATTCTACCCTACATTATCTATAGGCTTAACATACCTCTGCCCCCCACATCCAGACTCGTCTGCGAACTGGGCTGTTATGTGGTTATTAACTTCCTAACCTTTTATATCTTCCTGAACAAGACCTTCCAGTGGCCGGATAGTCAAGACATTCAGCGATTCATGTGGTAATGTGAGGGCGTTGTGAACTCTCATGGTTACACTGCACGCTGTTTGGACGGTGCACAACCAGACGAGTAGAAAGGAGGAGATTTTGAAGGCGCAACCATGATCTTTCAGATCACATGCATTTTTTTATGAGTTAGAAGTAGGCAGACTTGAGATCTCATGTTGTTTTGAAAACTAAATCAGGTGTTTGTCATTTTCGTTATACAGCAGTGTTCACTCGAATAAAGTTCTTCACTTTGTCTGCCACAAGCGTGTCGCGGGAGGTGAAGGCTCCGTGCTCAGACTTTGCAGATGTAGGCACACTCTGGGAAGCGTGGCTGGCAGGCCCGGAGAAGCCGGCACAGCGGGGGTGAGGAGTCCATCTTGTGTCAGAATTCTTAGAGTCCATTTTTGCCAGAATTTCGACCATGTTGTGTAAATACGATCAACAGACTACAAGGGAGTTTTATACATTCAGCTTAAACTGTAATATTCCAAGAAGGTTAAATAAATGCAGAGTTCTAGACTGCTTCAAAATGAAGCCTGTATAAAGAAAAAAGAAAATATTGCTGGCTACACAAAATGCTTGAAAAGTTTCATTAAGTTTAAGAAAACTGTATGTTCATAGTGCTGCAACTAATTTATTTCTTTTCTTTTGAATGATGTAGCACAGTGAAAAATGTTTAGAAATGGTCAGGTCGCACACCTGGCTGAGAGCTAACGTCGGTAAATATGTGCTTGATGACAAGTGAGAGTGCGTCAGGAAGTTTATGGAAACCACTTAAAGGATGTTGAGGTTTTTGCACCACAATGAATTCATCTTATATTCAATGTTTTCTTGGATTTTTGAAGTGCTTTTGTATATATTTCAAAACCAAGCTCTCAGTTTGTGTTCAGAATTTGTGTTGAATCTTGTCTGATTTGTGATTTGAGATGTGATGGCCAAAGAGAATTTGTGTTGACTGCAAACTTTAAAGCACGTCTCCCTTTGAAAACGGATCGGAGTGTAATTTCCCAGGATGGCGGTGAGACCAGTGTGGGGACTGGACAATAGCTCCCAGTGCCAAAGGTGGGAACTCTGGGGCAGGCAGGCTTGAATCCTTCCACAAGTCCGCTTTCCTTGGCTCCTGGCTCCTGGCTCCTGGCGTGCTGTTGCATTCTTTGCTTGGCTGGCCCACAGGCCATCGCGGTCCCTTCCTCTTCTGCCGAGGAGCGGCGTCACTGACCCTAATTCAGGATGACCTTAGGTGCAAGTCACAATTGTACCTGCAAGCACTTTGCAAATAAGGACATGGTCACAAGCCTTTTGGGGGACACGTTTCACTCTGTAATTCCTAAAGGACATTTTGGATGGACCCCCAAAGCTTTTATGAGATTTATATTCTTACCAAGATTTTGAAATACAATTTTATGGGAAGTTTTTAAAAAGTGATGTAAAGCTGAAGGTAACCGGCGTTTTGTTCTCTTATCTGAAAAAAAAGTGTCAGATTGGAAGGGAGCTGGGATATGGTTTGTTCCCGTTTTGTGGATGATGGTACAACTACTGAGGCGAGGAGTAATCTGGGTTAGTTTTGTTTTCTGTGTCTGACAGTTTGAACGCGTTCATAGAGTTGTCATTCCCTTCCAGTTCAGTGTCATTGCAGCATGTTACCCTAACAAACTCAGAACTGTGAAATCCGTCTTGTAACCTTGTATTATATTTTGGAACTTATAAAAACTACAAATGTGAACCAACAGTTCTTCCCTCAACATTCGGGTTATGCTATTTCTGGCTTTTAAGTGAGTGGGCATGGAAAGTATTTTGCACTTGCCAACGTAAAGTTGCGTGCAGGTGAAAATTACAGGTGTAATTGGGAGGAGTCATTGCCGAACATGTTCTGGAATGAGAAACCAGATTGAATCACTAGTTTTAACAGTTGTAGGGCAAATATATTTTACTTGGACATAAAGCATACTTAGAGATATCATGTTTTCATCATGAATTTATTATGATGAAGATATAAATTCAGGAAGTCAGAATTGGGAAAAAATGTAATTTAGTAAAAACTATTATCTGATGCTATTCATCTAAGAAATATTGTTGTGTTTGGGAATATTTCTCAGAAAAGCTTCTGCTCTGATCGGGCTGGCACACCGCAGCCTCCGTGTTGAAAACACGGTGTTTAGGGCGAATTGCTGTTCCATTTCGTTTTCAGACCTAGTCCTGCCACTGCCCGATCCTACAGGGAGGCTGCCAGCTTAATCCCACAGAAAGCTTGGGATTAAAAAACAGAAAATGTTGGCAGTTTGAGAGGTGCTATGCGTTTTTCACTGTTTTGAATTGAAACAGGGATGCTGTGAGTGTGTAATAATGGTGTGGATTGCATTTCTTGGGCAGCTGGAAAACTGGCAAGTCTGCCGAGCTGTGTGGCAGCGATGTGCAGGAGACGGACGCGGCCAGCCTGGCGATTGGTCCCTCCTGGTGCCGTGCCCAGCATCCTCACTGTGAGGCGAACACAGCCAGGCGCCTCTGGCTTGCGTAGCTTCCGCATTGCTTTTGTTTCTTTTGAGCAGATAATTTTGTCCTGAATTCTTAAAACTTAAGCTGCTAGGCTTGGTTGAATTTCTTGACGGAAAGATGGTTGTGAAAAGCGGTACATTGACCTGCTAGGGAGTGCCTGGCGGGCAGTCGTTCCTGGAGTGGTGAGGTAGTGTTGTGAGAGGATCAAGTGCAGAAACCGGGTTCAGTATGAGATGGCCGTGAACTTGTCCTGCCAGCTGCGACGTGTTGCTCAGCGTTCTCCGTGATCGCAGTGTGACTTTTCCCACGCACTAGGTGTTTCTTCACGCTTACCTTTGCTCTTGCTACTCAGCCATCGTGAAAACCACATCTGATTACACATCCAAATGATTTGGACATCCTAATGTCATTTTGATAAGAGAAATCATTTTAGCTAGCTGGAGTTGCTTTCCTCTTAGTTATTTGTGGGATGCACTTGCCATAAAATACCTAAACAGAAATAACATAATTTGTTTCTAATAAATAGCTTATAGTGTGTTTCTAGTTTGAATGAAGCCGCTACTTGCCTTGGCATTCCTTTCTTGAGGATGACCTAAAGACTGGAGGGAAAGGATCCACAGGGCTTTCATTTGTACCTCTTAAATAGCGGGCTATCATGTTGGACCTATTTTTAAAAAGGTAATCCATAGTCATGTAAAGAAATTCATGTTCAATAGGATAAAAAGCGCTTACACTTGGAGCAGTTAGAATTTCGTGAGAACATGGAAGAGTAGTTTCTTGTCAGTGAAGCCCGGAGCAGGCCTTAGCAGCCATGGACTTTTCAACCAAGCCTAGCAGCTTAAGTTTTAAGAATTGTCTGTAGAAGAGCAGTGTGCATGACACTTAGCAGTCATGTCTGCATTCCAGAACCAGTAAGGCGGGTGGTTGGGTCTTTGGTCCTCGCTGCCCGTGAGAATAGTATCTGTTCTGGTGGGGTGGGCGGTTGGCATGGGCCGATTTTACTTCACAAGGAATCGTCCCCTGCCATTTATTCGTGCTGTGTGAAAACGCAGTGTTATAAATGTCTCATCAGTGAAGTTGTCAGTACAGAATCAAGCCAGTGTCTTGGAAGCAGTTAAAGCCATAGAAGATGGTAGGAAGTCCTGTTTCGTGGTGAGAGGCATCCTAACCCTTTTTCTGACCCTGGGTTTATTTGCTGTAGTGTTTAATGGATCTGTGTGTTTTTACTTGTAAATGTGTATTGCAGTGTCGGTGGGATAGGACTTCAGATTGTTGCTGTTTATTTAAAATAATGAAAATAAATAGCCTGCAGTAGTTAACGTAGGACCTTGGATTCTATTTTTTAATTAATTTTTTTTTTTTACCAAACTGCAACATACTGCTTTGGAAGTAACTGTTGGACGCTTTTCAGGGTACTTAAGTGTTGACGACAGATATTTCCAATATGTTAAAATTTGTGTAGTTGAGAATATTACAATCAAGAGGGGCACTTTGAGGATTTTTTTTAAAAAATACATGTATTCATGGATGGAGCATTAAATTTTTTAGGACGTGAAATTGTTACTTCTAGGTAAGAAATTAGTCACTGTGAGGTGATCAAATGTCTTCATGTTCGGCTTTTTTTAAAAAATAAAAACTTGTAACGTGTGTTAATTTTAGGCCAGTCCGTCACTGTTAGGTGTGTCTCACAGGGAACACTGAGTCACGGGTGGATGGTACCAGTCGGGTGAGGAAGGGAAAGCACGTGGCAGCAGGTGCATCCTTCCCACGAGCTGATTGACAGGCGTTGTCTCTTGTGACCCTTCTCGAAATTGTGAGGAAGATGGTTTGTCTGACTGCTGGGATTCTGATAATAGACTTTAAGAAAAAAAAAATCTGTCTTGAATTAATGAAAAAAGTGTCTTGCCTGTGTTTGAAACAGCTTTTCCCCTCTAAGGCCAACCAGGTCTCGCAGGAGCGATGAGAATTTTAACGTACTGGGCACTAGGTGGCGATATTGCGCTGTGTTTTAAAGTTTGGTAGTTTTTTTTTTCTTTTAAATCTCTTTATAATTTTGATTCAAAACGCAAAGATTTGTAGTCAATCTGTTTATTATTATGTTATTCAAAATGTCCCCTGAATTATTTAGAGTTGAGGTAGCTGTGAGCTGTTCTGTCTTGTGACTGAGCCTGGGGTGTCTGCTGCTGTCACTGTCCAACACGGTGTTGGTGCTGGCCCGCATCCTCGTTCCCCTGTCGGCCCGGGGCCAGTGCTGATGGGGTACTCTGCACGGAGGGCGCCAGCACCGGGATTCCTGGCATGAGGTTGGGCTGTGTGCATAGACAGTTGGCGTGAAAGGGGCCAGAGTTCAGCCATGGGATGCATTTCTAGAGGGTTGTTTTTGTTTTTAATTTCTGACTGGAAGAACTTTGTTTATTTTAAAGGATTGTGAATATGTGTTCCCAGAGGCTTTGGGTTTTTGTGAGCTGTTAAAACACTGTTCTCTAAAATCGACTTCCAAGGCTACATCGTGAATTTGTGTTGTCAAAAACTGTGTTTTTTGAGTGAATCTGTTCTTTATAAGAATAAAGGATTTGTTTTCCTTTTTGAAGTCTGTTCAGGTGTTTTTGTTTTGTTTGGTCAGTAAGCTTGTGGCTTTCTATTTCTTCACATTGTTGGGTCTCCTCCCTGCACTCAGCTTAAAGTCTGTGCCTTCTCCTGGTCTCCTGGCCGTCTCCCCTCTCGCCAGCCACCACCGCCCAGTCCCAGGCTTGCTCCGTGCTCGCGAATACTAGAACTGAAGCGTCCATCAGTTAGTCCCTGCTGTTTTCGGAGTGACAGAAGCTAGTTGAATTGCCTGCTTGTAGGGACTTGGGCTTCTTGGCTGGGATAGGTTTGTACGAAGCCCTAAGTCTTTCCGCAGTAGCTTTGCTTGACAGGACGTGGGCCTAATGCAGGAGAACGTGCAGCGTGCCCAGGTGTCCCTGGGGCGCCTCCGGCAGCTTGGCGCTCCGCCAGGGCCGGCTGCACTGGCCCAGGAACCCCTCCCGGTGACTCAGCTGGGCCATTTCCCCCAGTGACTTAGACAGCACTGTCCGTGCTCGTGTAGCTGCACAGGCCTCTCTGGCTCGGCTGCGTGAGCACGCAGAGAGCTGCACCAGGCACGAAGCTCCCTACAATTCGTTTGTGCTTCTGTTTGCTCTCAGGGCTTCCAAGTGGGTTTCCTTTTGATTCATCTGTGCAAGAGCTGACATGACACAAGTTGTTACCTGCTGGGCAGACACTGCCTCGTTTATAGCTGACCGGTGTCAGGTTGCGCCTTGTGTTGGCAGGAAGGTTGAGTCACTTTGCCCTGAGAGACTGAAAGGAAAGTTCCTGGAAGTAGTTCAGCTTGGAACAGTCCTTCGGGAACACGGACTGGCGACTGGTCTGCTGGGTGCATCCTCGCGTCTGTCATTGCAGCCAGTGTGTCAGCAGGGAACAGAATGGCACCTGGTGGCACAGCACTTAAGCTGCCACCTCAACGCTGGCATCCCAGATGTCCCACCTCTGAGCCGGCTCCCTGGCAATGGGCAACAAGAGAAGATGGCCCCAGAGCCTGGCCCCCAGCCTCCCGTGTGGGCACCGTGGGGCTCCTGGCGCTTGGCTTTGCCGTGGACCAGCTGTGGCTGTTGCACCATCTGGGGACTGACATCAGGTAACGGCTCGCTCTCTCTCTCTCTCTCTCTCTCTCTCTCTCTCTATCTCTCTCTATCTCTGTGTCTTGCGCTCCCTCCTACTTTCCCTTTCCTCTCTTACTCTGGCTTTAAATATATCAATCCTGAATTTTAAAAGTTTTACTCATGTAAGTGGGACCGGTTTCATGTATTTCACAGGATTCTGTGACAGTCATCTTTCTCCAATCCCCCTTCCTTTTTTTCCCTCCCATGAATTGTTTGCAGTGGGCGTGTTTTATGCTGTGATGACACACTGACTGTAATACTCGGGGAAGCATTAGCAGACTACTGTTGCATAGGAACACAGGGCTGCAAGCAAGAATCCTAAGATGGCAGTTGAATCTTACACATTGGGCCTTTTTTCTCTGTGTTCTATATTAGCCATATCAGAAAAAATATATTTGTCTTTTGGAACTGGATAATTTTACTGGGAGTAATTGTTTCTAGTTGCAACCATTTTGTTTCGGAAAACAGATTTCATTTTTTTTTTTTATGATTTAGTACTAATCCACTTTAAAACCAGAAGCAGAAGTGGGTTTTAAGGAGCATATGTGTCTCATGGGGTGTTTCTGTGGAAACAGGATAACATCCGGCTGAAGGCACAGGTACATTTTTCCCAAATCAGTATTTGGGTTCCCAGCGCGGTAGCCTAGCGGCTAAGGTCCTTGCCTTGCAAGCTCTGGGATCCCTTATGTGTGCTGGTTCTAATCCCGGCAACCCTACTTGTCATCTGGCTCCCTGCTTGTGGCCTGGGAAGGCAGGTGAGGATGGCCCAAAGCCTTGGGACCCTACACCTGCATGGGTGACCTGGAAAAGGCTCGGGGCTCCTGGCTTCTGACTGGTGCAGCTCCAGCCATCGTAGCCACTTAGGGAGTCAGTCAACCTACAGAAGATCTTCTCTGTCTCTCCTCCTCTCTGTATATCTGACTTTTCAATAAAAGTAAAATAAATCTTAAGAAAAAAAATCAATATTTGTGGTGATGCTGATGGAGACCTGGGGATGCTGCAGAGGCCACCGAGGCAGAGAGAGGGACATGAGCGGAAACCGCACAGGGAGGGCTTGCTGTATACGAGGCACTGGTGACATGGCCCTGGGTGGAAAATTCTTTTAGGATCCCTGTGTTGTTAGGAGAGTATGACGGGACAGAAGCTGTAATCCTGGAGGACGTGGCCTGCGAACCGCCGCTGCCCCACTCCCACGGAGCGTGCCCCAGGGCTGCCATCAGTGCCCGGCAGACAGCTCGGGCCACGTCAGATCCTTGCAACCAGGGCAAAGAAGGGCAGCGCCACACCTAGACCTGGGGTAAATGCAGTGTGCATCAGAACAGCCTCTCACGGATGTGGCCAGATCTCAGTTAAAACGAGACGTGGAGGGAACAGCTGTGCTCCCCAAGCCCCACTCGCCCTCTCTGAAGGCCCTGGCCTCCTCTTGTAGATGCAGAAAGGCAGAACCACACGGGGTCTGTGCCTGTGACGCCTGCGCAGGCCTGGACTCGAGCCTGGAACGGGGGCCCAGTCGCAGGCTCCCAGAGTGTGTGTGAGCAGCAGGCTGGAGCGGGGCCAGCGCCAGGGCCAGCTAGCGCACCTGGCTCCTTTCCTGTGGGACACAGACCTGCACCTGCTGAGTGAACTAGGAAGAGGGTTAAAGATCTTTCTAAAATGCTGAGTCTGAGAGCTGGAACACAGAGCACAAATGTCTCACAGTGTGAGCATTGAACACCCTGATACAAGAATCCAATTCAAATGAAGAAATCTTGCCTGACAGGTGATCTTTATTCCCATGATGCCTACCAAGTGCCTTTGGGGCCGGAATGTACTGGAAAGTTTGAGAAAAAAGCCTGGGAGAGCAAAGGGGGAAGCAGTTTATCAAAGTTAATCATTCATTAACACCTTACTGTCACATGAGGATATCTGTGTGTGTTTACACGCACACCCATGCCGCCTGACCGTACGGTGCTTGGGGATGTCCAGATTAAGAATTTAAAGAATGCTGGTGGGGAAGGAAGACTGAAGAAGTTTCTCGGGCAGGAGGCATCTCTTCTTGCATTAGCCGCTCTGAGGATCAGCTGACACGTGGGAATGATGAAACTCAAGCAAAACCTGCAAACGAAGAGACGGAAGAACCCGGCAGGATCCATGCTGATTTCTACCTGCCCGACAAACCTTAGAGCAAAGTTGATTGGGACTGAGCCACTTTTAAATCCTTTGTTCATTTTGTTGCCAAAATGCATGACCCTAGATTGGACACAAGGTGGCAGTCTTGAGCATGTTTTCCACTTGTTTGACAAACCTTAGGCCATTTTATTTACCTTGCCACAAATGTTGGGATCTTTTTCATCAGTTGTGGAAAGGTATTTTTTTACTTTTTTTTCAGCTTTAGGCCAATGTTTTTGCTTATGCTAGTCCTGGGGTGTTTTGGAGGGATGGAGCAGGTGGAAACTTGAGTAAGAGTAAGATGATCTCAGCTGCAGCCCCAGCCCTGCAAGGAAGACGCCGTGGACACATTTCTGTTTGCAGTTTCCATCTGTTTGTAGTGGGAGCACCAGTTAAACCTGGCACGCACAGTTCTAATTCCCTGTGAAATTTGCTTTAATGGCAAAATGATTCCCCAAAGCTTCTGTTGAGGGCATGCTTCGATGCCCTTCTGGCTGTTAGAGCAGCCACCAGCCGTCCTCAGACAGCTGTGCTGTACAAATCCCTGATAAGGAGAGAAAGCAGAACAGCTGTACTTGTAATGTGTGAGAGCAACGTAGCGTTACGTGGAAGGGGAACTGTTCCACAGGCGGGCGTTTCCACTGAGACAGATGTGATCTGGGGTTTCTGCCCATCAGTAGGTTTGAGTGGCGGGCTGCGTGACCTGCACCTTATTTATTCTATAATGTCTGACATAATAGCAGCTGTTTTCGGTGCTCTTTCTTAACACGTGGGGAATCCTGTGATCTGTTGGTCACCTGCGCACCCTGAAGCTTAGAGCCTGGAACCACTTCTGCGTATCCAGGATGGCTGGCATGGACCACGTCCTTCTGTTGCTTTCCCAGGCACATTACCAGGGAGCTGGGTCAGAAGTGGAGCAGCTGGGACACGAACTGGGGCTCGTATGTGATGCTGGCATTGCTAGTTTGAAATGAAGGTAACATAAATTTTCCTCTGATAGAAACTCAAATTACAGCGATATCTGTGCTTGTATTATTGGTGTTGTTTTTAATGTGTGTTAAAACATGAAGGAGCAGGCATTTTTTGCAGTAGTTAAGGTAGCACTCGGGAGACTCGTACCTCATAGCAGTGCCTGTGTTTCAGTCCCATCACCACTCCTGGCTCCTTGCTGCCCACACAGAGCGATGGGTCAAACACTAGGCTTCCGCCTTAACCTGGCCCAGGTCCGGCTGTTGAGTCATCAGCTTTTAATTACTGTTTAGTACTGTTCTAATAAACATTTTCATATATGTGCATGTATGTGTGGGCACATGTGTGTAAGCATGTTTGCATGTATATGTATAGAAGTTAAGAAAAAATTAAGAACTTTAAAAAATTTGTTTAATAGGCAGAGTTAGAGAGAGAATCTTTCTTACCAGGCTTAATCCCCAAAGGGGATCGGGTTATGCTACACTGACGCCAGGAGCCCAGAGCTACTTCTGGATCTCCCACGTGGGTTTAGTGGCCCAAGCACCTGGGCCATCTTTTGATGCCTTCCCAGGTCATTAGTAGGGGGTTGGATCAGAGGTGGAGCCGCTGGCTCTCACACCCACACCGGATCCCGGGAGTATAGACAGCAGCTCCGCCTGCTCTACCACAAGGCCAGCTCCTTCCACAAATATTTATTTTGTGTTGTTAATAATTAGAATTAGGTGTTGTAGCAAGTAAATGATTCATAGCATTTAACAATACTTGGCAGTCATCCGAATGTCCTGAACTATTTAAAATTAGCATCTTGCATACCGATGTATCAAGAGGAAGTTGAGGGACTAGGCCTGGGCTTCTTGGTTAAGATTCCCAACCTCCTACTTCTGGTTCAGTTTCCAGCTCTGACTCCAGCCTCCAGCTTCCTTTCAAGGCATGTCAGGAGAGGCAGTGGGATGGCCCAGCCAAGCACGTGGGGGACCTGGATTGTGTCCCTGCTCCTGCTTGGGCCCCAACCTGTTATTTTCATTGCTGTTACTGGAAAGAGGAGTTTTAGCCACATAACTAAGCAGAGCCACAGCAGTGTTCTGACTGAAAACAACACAGCCAGCTCATGCAGCTGTGGTGTGCAGTTTTTCACCTACAATACCCACCTGGCCCTGTAAAATTGGGGAATCCTGGACTTAATGTGAGAGACCCTATGCTTCCTGGGAAAGTGACTTAGGTTGCAAAGAGCTGAGCCACATGTGAGTTGAGACATAACAGACGGTTAGGCAAGGCCACTGTTTCTGTCTTGACGGCAAACTGAGAGTCTCAGAAGAGTTGAGAAAACAGCTGTTAGCTGCTGCTTCTCTGGGTCAGCAGTTGGGGGTAGGCTCAGTGGGAGGCTTCTTCACTGGCCTCAGGCAGACCACACATGAAAGAACAAGGCAGTGGCCAACCCCCACAACTCCTGGTGGGACGTGGCCCTCAGGCAGAGCCTGGCTGTGCCAACAGTGATGTCATCAGGGGTCCCAAGGGCGGCAAGGAAGGAGGAAGGTCCTGAGTGAACTGACGTTTTAGGTCTCTTCTGTTATACGTATGGTACATAAGCTGTTACTGTAAATGAGAAATGATTTTTACAGCACAAGGACGTATTTTCAACTTTCCATGTTGGGTCATGTATTGCGTTTTGGTTTACTGAATCAAATATTTTTAGGCAATTGTGATATATATATCACTGAATTATGTGATTCTAAATCCCACAATTATGAAAGAATAATAATGTCATCCTTCAGTCTTGAGCTTTATTTTGGGGGAGGAGATTGAAGTTGTCACAGAATCCCTAATTTTCCTTTGGGCCATGTTAAATGATTCATTCCACTGGCCTCCTAGCAAACAGCTTGATGTTTTATGCTTAAATACCAAAGTCTCCAAAACGTCCCTCCTGGGGACCCACCTTGACTGAACAAGTATTTTGTGTTCTAACTATTTGGCAGTCTCCCTTGAAATTCCTTTGCAAATTCTGCAGTCACACCCTGGGCAACAGGAGCCACAGTGCCTGTTTCCTCCATGGGGCTCTTCTTGCACTGGTTCTGGGAACTTGCCCAGTGCCATCTCCCTGTCCCTGCCGGTGCCACAGGAGCACCCGGCATTCAGGAACTTGCCCAGTGCCATCTCCCTGTCCCTGCCGGTGCCACAGGAGCACCCGGCATTCAGGAACTTGCCCAGTGCCATCTCCCTGTCCCTGCCGGTGCCACAGGAGCACCCGGCATTCAGGAACTTGCCCAGTGCCATCTCCCTGTCCCTGCTGGTGCCACAGGAGCACCCGGCATTTGGCTAACATCAGGTGCCTGAGAATTCAGGGACTGCAGGTGGCTTTTGCTGCTGGCTTTACCCAAGTGCCATTAACTCAGTCCTTTGTTCTAGCAAGCACCTGTTCGCTGTAAACAGCAGGAAAACAACCCAGATGGAAGCACAAACAAAACAAGTAAAAAAATATTGGCAGGCTTACATGGAAATGTAAGCCTGGCCTCAGGATGGCTCCCTTTTTCTGTATGTCGCCCTCTGTCTGCTGTCCCCTGCTTCTGCAGCGGGTGTGCTCAGCCAAGAAGGACAGAAGGCAGCTGTAAACCTCTGTCTCAGCTCTGCAATCAGGGAGGCGAGGAGGAGGAGGGGCCCGAGGCTGGCTGACCATTGCCTCTGATTCCTTGGCTTCTGGAGTCCAGGACACTCACTACCTACCAAGCACTGGATCCAACTGCATGACTGGCACTGAGCTGTCAAGTTCACTGGTGGATCCTTAACGGTGCCCAGCAATCATGGGCGTAATCCAGGGCCACACGTGATGTGGTGGAGAGGAAGAAACAGGGGCACCAGAGAGTAGCTTTTCCAAAGTCACACAGCTGCCTAGTGAGGAAGGCTGCCTGGATTTGGGACTTTCAGGGTGTGGATTTACAAAATAAAACACTTTGGTAATGATATTTAATATATGGTTTGTAAGCATACGATTCCGGCATGACTGAGATTCTAAGAAATTCTGAAAGAAACGAGATCCTAAAGGCAGCCTTGCCTGGATCTCCTAATCTGGTGTTTGTTCTGGTGATGGGTGTAGGAATGGCCTTCCATTTCCATGAAAGCTGAGAATGTTCCTTTGAGAGGCCAGGCCTGTAGTTAGTGCTTAAGCATAACTGACTTCATAGCTGAGACCAGAAGCAGCAGCAATGGCAATCTGTACCTACTACTTCACCATTTCATTTTTCAGTCTTTACCATGTTGTAATTTTTTATTACATGCTTCAAGTAAAAAGGGAGCTAGATTATGCAGACCTTGTGGTGCCCTAAGGACTTTGGTTTGCTCTCAGAGGGGATGGGAAACTATGAGGGGTCGGGAAGGAGTGCCACCAACTGACCTATGTTCTAGCAAAACTGTGTTGAGTAGACTGACAGGTACACACAGTGCAGTAGGCAGATGAGGTTAGAAACAGCAATTATTCAGATAGGAGATAATTTTGCCTTTGTTTGGGGTGAGAGAATATGCCAGAGACTAGAATATAGGCACCCGGCTGGCATGAAGTTGGCTTTCTAAATTAATATATCCCCAGGGCATGAAACCCTTTCTGGAGTGCAGCAGAAGAGCGGTGGTACTGGCTGCATGAGCGAACGGATGGGGCGATGGATGTCAATTTTTCATGGCGTCTATTTTCCTCCCATCTGTTTATTATTTAGCTTTAAAATCCAAGCCACTTTTCTCATTGTCTCATTTTAAAATGCAAAGTGAAAGAAAAGCAGAAGCAGAGCAACCACTTCTCTTCTTAAATTTAATTGAGTTCAACACTTTTGTTTTTCTTTTTTTTAGAAGCACTTTTATGTGATGACTTCTTTGGGATATTAAGGACATCAAATACCAACAGAGTGTTCCAAGGCAGCAAGATGAGATTATTGCTTGGGGTCAGGGCTCTGCTGCAGTACAAAATCTACTTCAAAATTAAAATTGCTACGTAGGCTTTAATTTCCTCCTCAGAAGGGCAATAGCCCGTCCAGTGCATCAGACCCGGCTCTTTTGGCTTACTATAAATGGGACCATGTGATTGCAACATTACAAAGTGCCTAAATGGCAAGCAATATTAGAAAAGTTTGACAAGCAGTGGCACAGAGTTTATTTGGTATGCAACTTTCTTGCATGAGAAAGCAGAGAAATGGAACACTTTCACAAGGTCGCTGTGACATAAGAGCAATCCACAGCACACCAGTGTCTGTAGGGGGGCAGAGGTAATTGGACCTGCAGGAATAAAGATGGTGACATCTGTATCATTGCATTTTGATGATTAATCATGTGAACTGCTGGCTATTGAGTGAGTAAATAACTACTCATGTTTTACAAAGCTGTGGTCAGATGGGGGTGTGCAATGGAGAAAAGGAGCTTAGAAAAACTTGAAGTGAAATCCACAAATGTTGCTAGTGTCACTCGCCCTGCATTTTTTTTTTTTAATTTATTTGTTTGGAGGCCAGTGGTGTCATATGGCAGATAAAATCACTGCCTGCATGGCTGGCATCCCATACAAGCACCGATTTAGTTCCCAGCAGCTCCACTTCCCATCTGGCTTCCTGCTAATGCCCTGGGAAAAACAGAAGATGGCCCAAGTGTTTGGGGCCCTGCCACTTGTTTGTGAGATCCAGATGAAGCTCCTGGCTACTGGCATTGGCCTGGCCCAGTTCTGTCTATGGCAGCCATCTAGGGAGAGAAACAACCGTTAAAAGATAAGTTGCTCATTCCCTCTCTGTCACACAGCCTTTCAAATAGATAAACAAATCTTAGTGGGGAAATAAAGATTTATTCTTTTGAAAGGCTAAATGAGAGAGGGATTGGGGGAGAGACAGAGATATCTTCCATCTACTGGTTTACTTCCCATGTGGTCATAAGGACTTGGGCTCGGGTCAGGCTGAAGCCAGTGTCAGGAACTCCATCCAGGTGTCCCTGAGGGGTGACAAATACCCAAGTACTTGGACCAGCGTTTGCTCCCCTTCTGGATGCATTAGCAGAGTGCTGGACAGGGAGCCAGCCAGTAGCCACTTAGCACACTGCTCCACATCTCTGCCCCTCACAGACTGTGGTTTGGGCTGAGAATTCTCAGATGGGGTATGATGTGTATAGATTAGTGTTAACCTGAAAAAGTTTAGCTTTAAACAATTTCTGTACTTGGGTAAAAAAGTCTGGCCCATAGCAGCTGCTGTACATAGTGAACCATGCCTTAGCGTGTATGACATGCAAAAAGTTAGAACAGAATGTGTAGCCCTTTAAACTGACTCTCAGCTGATGGTAGCACCTGATCCTCCAGCCAGTCAGAGGCTGAGAGGTGCCTAGATGTGACCACGGAAGGCAAAGGCCACGACAGCCAATTACATTGCTTTAGTTTGTCCCTCTTTTTTCTACCTACAAGTGAAACCTGTGGGTGTGGTGGATGGGACACTCTGGACTACCTCGGGTCTGAAAGGCTGCCTGATTTTAGAATCCTTGTTGTGCTCAAGTGAGCTATATCACAGTAACTGGTCTCTACTTTTAATTTTAGTAAATAACTTAACGTATTTTATTTATTCTCCTTAAAGAACTCTTATTGAACCAGTAGGAAGATGAGTTGAAGAAAGCCAATCTGTGAGGCTGCTTCAGATTTCCATAATCCATTCGAAGACCGACAGAAGTAAGATGTTGCATTGGACACTGCCCTGTACCTCTCTGTTTTCAACAAGAGCTCACGAGACTGAGAAATTTGCAGCCTCCTTAGCCTTGTGTCCAGTGCTGCAAAGACTTCTGGGCATCCCGGCCGCAGCTGGCACTGCCGCAGTGCGCATGGCACACCCTGAAGCTGCTCTGGACACCTCCACCTGCATACAGGCTCTTGCAGTGCCTGGTGCCTGTGAAATCTGCCACCTTCCAAACAGGTAAGAGATTTCACCAATCAAAGCCATACCTTACTGTGGTGTGAAACTTCATGTTTTCAAAATGTTTTGGCTTGTGTTGTTTTGCCTTAGAATTCACAGAAACTTGAAGGTGGCAGAGATTTCAGAAGCTATGATCCCCATGTAACAGCTAGAGAAATTGAATCCAAAAGTTAAACTCACCACTTTGTATAAAATTAAATAGCTGGCTAGCAGCAGATCTGGAACCAGTACTCAGTACTCCTGACTCTTAACCCGGTTGTTTTCCTGGCTTTGGCTGGGCTTCAGCCTGGCCATTGTGGCCATCGGGGAGTGAACCATAGGAGGGAAGACGTGTGTGTGTGTTTGTAGCTCTAGATAAATGTTTTAAAATGTGAGATTATTCCAGGTCTTAAATATATTTTTTAAATGTGGTAGCTTCCTGAAAACTTAACGATAATATGAAAAGAGAAAATTAGCTAATCAAAACATACCTTTCAAACAGTATGTATCAGATGCATAATGGAATTCAAACACTGGAAAAACTATTGGGAGATGAGGTCCATAGGTACTTGGGTGGTCCAAAATCATGAAGCATATGGGGAAGCTTTACCACGCCAAGCCCAGCCAAAGACATTTTCACCAATTTATTCAGCAAATTAGAAAGTAAGTACCTAAGAGAAGAACCAGACAAAAAAATTTTTAAATATTCTTTTTAACAAAATTAAATTTGAAGTTTTCTTATGAATGTCATATCCATCATGTGGCTAAGTCAGTTGGAAAATTTTTATACCAAAAATGATAGATGTATCTGATTCAGTAATGTGGCTTGGCTTGATCTTTAATGATATAAAATTGTGAAAATGTTATCACTGCGTAGTTAGCATTTCTTATAGTCATAATTCCACAATGAACATTTAGAAGAAAGACTTTGAGAATTTATAATTTTGTGTATCCAAAAATGATGAAGGGATTTGTCATGATAAAAATAATTTTATTCTTAAGGGAGAAAATAAAATTTAAATGATGGATTTTCAAAGGCACACAGGCACACACACATTTATATAACTCTGGTTGTTTTCACACCTTTGATTTTTTTGAGAGGAAGAGACACAGAGTTTCCATCGCCTACTTCACCTAGCAAATGCCTACGAGGTCTAAAGACTTGAACTCAGTCCCACCTTTCCACTGGGTGGCAGCAACACAGTGTGTCACGCTTCTCAGGCTCTGCTTTGGCAGAAACTAGGACAGGAGCCATTCTGAAACGGGATGTTGCCATCCCAACCATTATCCTAACTGTTGGACCTGATGCCTGTCCCCTGAAATTTTTAAGATAAGTACAAATTCCATTAGGAAAGTGGAATGTGGTTATCTTAAGGATGGAGTTAGGAGGAACTATACCAGAGAAATCATGTAAATAAGGCATGAAGATTCCAATATGTGCTCATGTTAAATGGTGAGTGATCTCACCAGCCTCAGCAGAGAGCTGAGTGCAAGGGAGTAGATGTGAGAAGCGTGCTAGGACTGCAGCAGTGGTGGCTGCGGTCAGCAGCGGTGACTGTAGACTCCCGGCGCTGTGTGACCACCGACAAATTAAACTGCCTCGGCCCTTGTTTCCTCTAGGATTTCATGACGATTACAGGGTGTATTTTTTATAACATGTAAAGACTTTTATAAAGACTTGGCATAGCATGTAGCTCAATAACAAAGTTAAAAGTAAACAAAACTCTGCCAAAAATGCAAATAAACAGGCCAGAGTTGTATATGTCAGTCATGGATCGTTACAGCGGCTTAAAGGAATGTCATTGGGAATTATTGATCCATTATTGATCTCAACACAGTGTCGTGCCTTCCTGGAAATCTTGCTGGAAGTCCCCCTCTCACCTTCTCTGTGAGCTTATGCCTTCCTCCTGTTCCGACTCTGTGTCTTGGCCTCCCCAGACTGTTCTGGCCACTGGCTGCCATGCATGTCAGAGGGTGATCTCGCCCTGTCATCTCCACAGCAGAGTTCCAGGACAGGATCTTGGCTGCGACCGAGAAAGACATTGGGCCCCCTGGCTTAGCCCATGCGATGGAGCAGTGTTCTGCCAGGCAAATTATGCACAGAGCCATGAAGGTGTGAGTTGGGGCTGGACCTGAGGAGCTGCCTCTGTCAGCACCATTGAGAAACTCTTCAGGGTTTATGGGGAAGCTGGCCAGCTTCCTCACCACCTTCTGGAACTTCTGTAGACCTAGGACAAGTTTGCACGGCAGCTCTCTGGCACAGGTCATCCCTCCCTCCGTGCTTGGAGAGGATACCCTCACCTTACTTCCTTTCTTCCCCAGGGGGTGGTTGGGACTGACTTGTTGAGAAAGGTTTCCATTACCTAATGAGTCAGGAGAGAAAAGGGTTGCCATGGTTACATGTAAACAGCTGCTGTGTGGCTCATGTCATTTTACATTTAGAAACTGCAGCCTATATAGCCCCCACCTCCTCAGTTTACTTGCTTGTTTTACAATTACAGAAGCAGATGTGGCAGCGCACTTATCCCCTATTTGTTGGGCATATACGAGCGCACACCTCCTTGCCTGGCCCCCTGAGTGAGGGTAATGCGTGGGCAGGCGTGCTGACTCGAGTGTTGCACATATCCCTGACCACGGACCTTATGAACAGGCAGTGCGCCTTCACAAAAGGTTTCATCTCAATGCAGCTTCTCTAAGACTACATGCTAAAGTGTGACTAGAGAACAAGCCACCCAGACTGTCACCAGTTGTGAAGTCTGCACTCAATATTGTCCTGTCCCATCCCTAGGGGTTAATCCTAGAGGGTTATTGCCCAATTGTGTGTGGCAGATGGATGTTATCCATGTCCCTTCTTTTGGAAAACTTGAATATGTGCATGTTTCTGTTGATACCTATTCCCATGTAATATATGCCTCCGCCCATTCAGGAGAGAAATTAAAATATGTAAGAGCCCATTGCTTACAGGCCTTTGCCCGTATGGGGTCCCCAAACAAATGAAGACCGATGATGGGCTGGCCTATGTTAGCCAGGGTTTTGAGAAGTTCTGTCAAGATTTTAATATAACTCACAAAATAGGCATCCCTTATAATCCTCAGGGTTAGGCCATTGTCAAATGTGCCAATTGCACCCTTAAAGTTTATCTAGAAAAAGTAAAAAAGAGGGATGTGGCCAAGCATTGCAGCTCGCCCCATTCCCTACTGGCATCCGCCATCTATGTGTTAGATTTTTTGACTGTCTCTAATGATGTAGTTCCTGCAGAGCGCCATTAGCTACGCTCTGCTAATGAGAATAAAGGCCAAGTAAAATGGAAAGATCCGGCCACAAATAAATGGCGGGGACCAGATCCAGTACTAACATGGGGGCGAGGCTCCGTTTGTTTTTTTCTTCAGGATGAAGAAACGCCGAGATGGGTGCCCGAGAGACTTACATGACAAATCTCCTTGGCTCCAACTCAGCATGATCCCATTCCTAATGATGTTCTTGCAGGATAAAAGCTGTTGGGAGGAGGAGACCTTGGCAGCGGTGGTGCAACTTCCCAGTATTGTGCCCACGGGAAATGCAGATCTCCAGCTGCTCCCCAATTTACCATCATATATGTGTTACCCCCATGAAATGGCATTAAACGGGCAGCACGGATGTTTAAGGAATGGAGTAGAGTCTTGGCCATGGACTGATGGTCGTAGCCATGATTGCAGTACTGTTTTTTCTTCTCTGCTGCCTATGCAGGCAACAAGCCCGGAGCGGCTCATCATTCAGCAAAGCCATGATTTGAGCATGGCTGGTTGAGCATGATGCGTGATGGGTAGCCAGACACGGGTAAGATCAGGCAGAGTTGACGACCAACCTAAGACAGGGATCCCGCGTGCCTCGGGCAGGGCTCCCCATGACGGGTAAGGCATCAACTGACTGCTGGACAACCTAAGACAGGCAACCATTAAAAAAAAAAAAAAAAAGGAGGATATGCAGGGCCCGGTCTCCCAAGGGTTAACTCCACAGCTTCATTTATTTCTCAAGAGGTATAACAGGGCATGCAATCTTGGCATGACACATTTAGTCCCCCAGCCTCACGGCCAGTTCCTGCTTCCTGTTTGTCAAGCTGTGTCCCCAGGGGATTTTAGGGTGGCCGCTTGAGGATTAGATAAACACTGGGAGGAACTAGGCAGAGTATAAAAGGCAACCTGGAGTTTCAATAAACGGCATTCGGCATTCTCCTTACATGTATGACCCAGTGGGTGCTATCTTCTTTTCAGCCCTAGTCCTCCACTCAGCTCGGGATACACGGTGACACGGGCATTGCTGGCAGTTCAGTACAGCGGGACTTCCTCCTTAGGAAGTGAATTAGCACTGAGTTCCTTGGTGAGCCTGAAAATACTTTCATACTTAATATCCATTTGGGGAGACCAACTTTAAAGAATTTCATTGTTAGTAATTGTCAAAACATTAATTTTGTATCATTCATAAGTTCTGTTTATAGGCCATTTCACAGTAGCACTTTACACATTTCCTTAACAGATATACGGCTCCACTGCATCTGGTGGAAACTGGTTCATTGATTATTATCATAAGATGCAAAGGGACGTCGTGCTGAGGGAAGGACAAGGAAAGACACTGGCAGGCTTTGAACTGTGCATGGCACTGGGGTAGTTGTTCTAGGGAGTGGTGACGCTAACAGTCACTGAAGCCATGGGAGAGATGTCATGACACTGTACATCCCTGTGTCTGGGAACTCCTACAGTGGCCCAGGGGGTTAGGCTACTGTCTGCAGTGTTGGCATCCCACATGAGCACTGGCTCAAGTCCTAGTTGTTCCTCTTCTGATCAACTTGGGAAATCCCAAATGCCTGGGTTGCTGCCACCCCATGTAGGAGTCCCAGGCTCCTGGCTTTGGCCTGTCCCTTGGGAGTCAGCAAAGGATGGGAGATCTGCCTAGCTCTGTCTCTGCCTGGTTCTCTGTAACTCTTCCTTTCAAATAAACAAATCATTGGAAAAAATTCTTTTTTCTGTTCTGAAGCAGTATACTTC